CTTCAATGCAGAAGATGTCAAGCTTATCGATATACATGAAAAATTATATGATAAATTAGATCCAAGGATGGGGAAATCTATTAGCTGAATTAAAAGATGAGTGAGATGATGACCCAAATGGAAGTAATGATGTAGAGAACTACTATCGAAGGCCTTGCACAAACTACTACAGCTGACCTTCGAAACCTCCAAGTGCCTTGAGTCTCAAGAGTGTGAGGCAACCATGAAGGTGGTCATGAGGTGTAGATTGTCATTCGCCAGGCTAATCTATATAACATTGTCAGTATCTCCGAGCCTGTAATGCCTATACAGCTGAAGGGAATAATCACAGAAAATTTCAAGGCTATCATAACCATTGATCAGGCTGACAAATTCATGAGAAAAGGTCACCCATATCTTGACGAATACGAATAAATGTCATACCTGAAAGAATATTCTATGTCAAAGTTTAATACATTTAATGGTAATAAAAATCCTATTTTATTGAAAGAGTTTAAGTATTGAAAATGTTTAATTATCTTAAAGAAATTTAAAATTAACTCTTAAGTTTTAATTATGAAATAGAACATACCATCATAAATGATATACCACTGCAAAGATTGGAAATAAGGTTTCTTAATGGGGTTCATATTTAGAATTTTAAATTACATTGAAAATATTTTAGCCAATTTTAAGGAAGATCTACATATGACCCCGAATGGTCAAAATGATGTTCTACAAAATATTTGACTATTATAGTCTAGATGTATGATAATTAATTTCATATTCAAAGTCATGATAATAGAATGATATATCTCCTTGGAGAAAGAAGGTTGTCTTCTCAACTCTTTTTTTGATTCCTAGGCCTAATCATTTTACATTTGAATTTTCAAAAAAATTTGGGACATTTAAGAACCTATTTTTTTAATCTATTTTTCATTATTTCCCTTCTTATAAAATGCCTAGGGCTGTTAAAACTTATGCCATTGTTCTCATTCCTAAAAGTGCTCATGCTTCTTTCATTAAATATTTCAGACCTATTTCTCTATGGAATGTCTTTTTATAAAATGGTGGCTAAAATTTTGGCTAATAAAATGCAAATTATTTTGCCTTATATTTTTCACCTTTGTCTATCTGGGTTTATAAAATAGAGAATTTCTATGGATAATATTTAATTAGCTTCAGAATTATTAAGTTAGTTCAATTGTTAGGCTAATGTAAAGTAATATGCTAAATTTAAAATTTATAAGTCTTTTAGCACCGTTACTAGATTTTCCTGATTGCTTTATTTCTTGGATTAAACATTGTATTGAGAAAATTTTCTTTTCTATTGCTCTTAATGATTCCTTAGAAGCATTATCTTGCTCCTAATCCCGTCAAGGTTTCCTATCTTCTTATTTATTTTGTATAGTGATGGATGCATTATCTAATTTTATATATGATATATATCTTTTGATACTAATTTTGAGGGAATAGTCGCTGCTGATAACTATATTTCTCATTCACTTTATACGGATGATATTTTGGTTTTTGAAAAAGCCTTGGCTTTCAATGTGAAAAAATTGGAGGATATTTTGTATTATTTCATTCTTTATTCTAGTCTCTATGTTAATCATAATAAAATTTTGGCTATTTTTTTCCAAGAATACAATTTTGGCATATAGTATTCGTTAGAATTAAAATATTTCTAATTCTCAACGTAGTATGAAATATTTGGTTCTTCCTATTTCTACTAAAAGGCTTATTGGTTTTGATTTTAAACATTTGCTTAATAAAGTAATTGATTTGCCTTCTTGTGGTAAGGCTAACGAGCTCTCATTTATGAGTAGACATCGATTTCATAAATTTACAATTACCAATTACATTAATTGTTGGATTAGAGGTATTGTTATTTATATAATTTGCCTTAAATTTATTATGTTTTCTCTAGTTTTTTTTTTCATGATAATGTTTATGCTAAGAAATTGCATATTATTGCATGAAAGGATGTGTGTAAGCCAAAATGTTTTTGGGGTCTGGGTATTCCAGATCCTATTACCTTTGATTATTCTTTTAGTTGTTCTACTATTTGGAGGATTTTAAATTGGAATTATATTTTGTTCTGTTGTGTTAATCAAGTGAGAGGTAGAGAAAGCAAGTGTGTTGGAAAGTGATCTAGAGACTGATATAAGGGTTAAGATAAGGAGAGAGAGAGAGATAGTAGATAAAGCGAAAGAGAGATGGCGAGATAGTGAAAATGAGCGAGAAAGAGATGCATAGAGAATGAGATCTAGAAGGAGAGGGAGAAAGAAGGGATGAGAGTAAGAGGAAAAGAGATTTATTTATGAAGAATAGAGGGTGAGGGAGAGAGTGAATGGAGAGGAGGAGATAGAGAGAGTGGGAGAAATATAAAGTGATAAAGATAGTGTAAATGGTAAAGATAATGAGAGAAAGAGAAGAGAGAGAGAGAGATAAAGAGCAAGAAAGGGTAAGAGTAAGAGTGGGAGAGATTTAGTGAGAATAAGATGAAGTGATTGTAAGAGATAGAGATTGAGAGAGGGAGAGAGAGAATGCGAGAACATGACTAATAGAGAGGGAGAAAGGGTGGGAAGGATAGAGAGTAGAAGAGAGTGAATGATATAATGAGAGAGGGAGATAGAATGTGTGTGAGAAAGTGAGAGGGGGAGAAGCTAGGGGAGAAAGGGTGAGAGAGTGAGATAAGTTGTTTTTGAGGGATAGGGAGGGTGTTGGAGAGAGAGAGAGAGAGAGAGAGAGAGAGAGAG